GAGAGAAAATGCTTGGAATCATTTATTCAAATTGTTTTTGTTAGGTTGTTGCCACCTACTCCTGCAGGAGGAGAACAAATCGCTGGCCACTTGCCCTCTTCCACAACCTGGTTGACATTTCCCATTACAACGCCTACGTCCTGTGGACATCAATCGAGCCATCCTGGCAGCAGCAGAAACCATACAGGAGGAGGCTCTTCATTGAAGAGGTGGGAGAAATGCTGGTGACCCCACACATCAAGAAGAGAGGGCGCCTTCCCCGCTCATCAGCCGCTGCAACAATGGTGTCAGATCTGCAGGGTGCTGCTGCAGGCCCCTCTCTCATCAGTGAACGGAAGAGCGGGAGGCAGTGCCACTTTTGCATGGACAGAAGAGTTTGCAGCACCTGCTGCAAATGTGGGAAATTCATATGTAAGGACCAGGGGCGTTGCCTGGACCTGGAAACATTCGGGGCTTAGCCCACAGTGGCGGCGCTACAGTCGAATTTTCTACTGCACATACACAATTGCGCCATCTGGTGTCACAAACGTGTGTCTGCATTAGCTTTGTTACGGCAATGGACTGTGGGAGATTCTCATAGCACGTGAGGATCTCTTGAGGGTAAGGTGCCTGTATTATCTCGGGGGACAAAATGTATGTTTTTATTTTATAAGGACAATAACGTACTGTTGTGTTTGTTTAGTTTAATGTTAATTGTTTAATGCTCACAGTCACAGCAACATGTTGTGTGATTGGTTTTATATGATTTATCAACGTGATCATCAATAGCTAATCTGAGCACCAGAACCCAGCTCACGTGTCCTTTTATGCTGTCCATTGAAATGCAGGAAAGTAATCACCAGCTCTGAGTGATCTGTTGCCGAGGAGACACTACACCGGAGTTACATAAGCAGAGATAAAGTGCTATTTTGAGGGAACTCACCTCCTCTGGAGTCCAGGGGGAAGAATTTTTTTAAATGTTGAAGTTAAAAGCATCAATCTTGTGCACTTTGAGAGCAACATTAAGAGATATGGATACATCTCTCGACACCCATATGTCAACAAAAATCAAAGAATCAGAATCAGAAACGGGTTTATTATTTAAAAACACTTTATTTTCCAATTAAATCATAAACTATGTCAAATGATTAGAAGTTGTTAGTAATCAGATTAAACAGAAAAAAGGGATGGAAGGAGGAAATAATAATCCCTCATCACTTGCTGTTTGCGGTTGAAATGATCTCTTTTGCTGGCCAAACATGCTGGATGGAAAGCCGTGATGTCTCACTTGCCTTGGCCCTGTATCTGCAGTCCCTAAATCAGTCATGTTACTCATTGACTCTTGTCTGTTCTGGTGTTCCTGTTCATTGTCGTCTCCATTGTCGTTCTTATCTGTTGTATCTCCTTCTTGTGTGTCCCTTTCTCCTGTTCTCCTTTCTTCATCCTCTACTCTGTTTGGCTCATCTGTGATGACTGTGGGTAAACACAAACAAGTATGTAAGTCAATCAGTTTCCAGCTCTGTCAAATAAATGAATTTCAAGATACACAAATGTGTCTTCATTAAAATGAGTGTCACCACACTGTCACACAATGTAATACTAACCAATTGAAAATAGTTAAATGTACATCTCTTGTAGATATCACTGTTAGAGTAGTTATCTGCCAATAGGACATAATCATTCCTATACAAATGCAGTTTGAGTAATTCACTTAATATATTCACTTCATACTTTAATATATTCATTTTCACTTGATACTCTAATATAGTCATCTTTCTGCATTCAACACTAAGGAAAGCTGTACAATTTGACATGATAATGAGGAAAAAAGGCCTCCGACAATGCAGATCATTTTGTGATCATATCCATTTTAAGATGGGGGTCAAGGCTTAATATTTGGGAGCATAGTGTCCCTTGCCCCCTTTCAGGAGCCCCACTTGATTAGCTTTGATCTGAAAGCTTGTTAGCTGGCTGTCCATCTCATAATGTACACATAGAAACTAGCTGTCAATAGGAATATCAATCAGAAGAATTATAATTTCATGCAAAAATCTGTCACAAAAAGAGGTTGCACATTTAAATTCAGGTGTTGTTATGGCAACGTCAGTGGCCAAACAGCCACATTTACTGCTGCAAATACGTTCAAACATGCTGTTGACACGTAAAGCAGTGGCAACTATGCCACCGTTTCAGCTGACTTTTTCTCAGAATTACTGTCACATAACATCCATATATATTTCAGTGCTAGGTTGATGCTTAGCTAAGCTAACTATTAAACACTTTAACTGACAGGACTCCGGATCAACTGTGTAATGTAAGGTAGCTTCTAGCTTCATGTCGAACACTGACAGTAAGTCAACATTTCCCAGAGAGCTTTCTTTGAAATCACCAGGTAACGCTAAAAAACACAACATTTAGATTTGATGACAAAGTGTTTATTTAATATATCTGGCTAGCTATAGCTACTTGCTAACGGTTTAGCTTACCCCCGCGATTCAAAGTAACGTCAACGTAGCTATAATTTATGCTTTGCTTACATGTTGACATAACTTGTAAGTTTACTGACATTTACATACCTTGTTCACCTGGCTCAGGTGGTGGCTCTGGGGTTGTTGTGTGAGCCACCACTTGAGAATTGCTGTCTTTTTTATTTAAAAAATGTCTAATGTCCATCTTCAGAAACTCCGCGTCCGCGGCTGAAAGTTTAAAGTTTAAACATTGTCACAGAGGAGAGGTCAGCCAATAAAACACGTTTATTTCCATGCAACTCTCGGATTGGTCTGGTGGTTGCCTCTGTTGCATTCACTGAACACGGGAAATTACAATTCTGCCATCCTCTAGGTAAAGTACGGTTAATGTATTATATTATTGAGGGAGAATTTGTCCGGGGCTAAAGAAAAAACATCCGGGGCTAAAGCCCCGGATGCCTACCCCAGGCGACGCCCATGGTAAGGACCACAGTCTGTCCATTTGCAGCCCCTGCTCCACCTGAGCTGGACTCTCACAGTGTTCATTCAATGTTCATCTTTGTAAAATAAATGTTTTTCTGGTTCAAAATGATCTTGTATTATTCATTTTAGTCAGGCTGGAGTAGTTTTAAAAGACTGACTCTTTGAAAGTGGGAACAAATATGAATATATCATATTTTTATAGCAACTTTTGTGAAGGTGGCATTTTCTGGCCTTAGGAACACGAGTGTGAGTTTTTGTTTAAATCTAACACTGCAAAAAAAATAACAATGCATTCAAATTTATTTTGCTGCCAATCATTGATCAATATAGGGACCTAATAATAACAATGATCTAATATTCCTTGAAATTTATTTTTTGAAAATTATTCTAGTTTTTTGTTCTTTTCAATAAAAAAAACTGTGGAGTTTTTTCAACAAACTGCCATTTAAAGGGTTAAAATCCCCAAAATATAATTCATATTTCATATGTGTATGTCAGGCTGGAGTAGTTTTAAAAGACTGACTCTTTAAAAGTGGGAAACAATATGAATATATCATATTTTTATAACAGTTTTTGTGAAGGTGGCATTTTCAGGCCTCAGGAACACGAGTGTGAGTTTTTGTTTAAATCTGACACTGCAAAAAAAATAACAATGCATTCAAATTTATTTTGCTGCCAATCCTTGACCAATATAGGGACCTAATAATAACAATAATCAAATATTCCTTGAAATTTATTTTTTGAAAATTATTCTATTTTTTAGTTTTTTTCAATAAAAAAACTGTGGAGTTTTTTCAACAAACTGGCATTTAAAGGGTTAAAATCCCCAAAATATAATTCATTTTTCATATGTGTATGTCAGGCTGGAGTAGTTTTAAAAGACTGACTCTTTGAAAGTGGAAATAAATATTAATATATCATATTTTTATAGCAGTTTTTGTGAAGGTGGCATTTTATGGCCTTAGGAACAAATACGTTTTGTTTTTTTAAAGGGACTCTTAATCATGCAATGCATTGTGAATATCTTATAAATAGATGTTGGCTTCTATAAAAAAAGGTTTTTAAGTTGGGGGCTTGGGTAGTTAGAGTGCAACTCTACTAGAAGCATCACCAGTGGTACATGTACCACAGTTTGGGAATGAATGCTCTACATCAGTCCAAAACTTTCAGAAGTGTCCCGTTTAATCTTGGAAATTCCTGTTTTCATAAACTGGGACATTTCTCATACTACGATTTCCACTCATCCCGACTACTGTTTGTCATGCTGTTCACAAGACAACCATAATATTAAACAATGGAAGCTACTTAAATCACTTAACAGTCGCTTAAAACACAAAAAAAGCTCCTCCGTCACTGCCCAATTGTAGCATTGTATAAAAGGGTGTTGTTTCAATAAAAACAAATTCAACTTTGATAATAGTTGATTATAGTTATGGATAACCTCTTTCACTTATAGTATCTTTGGCATGGTGCAGGAAGCCTTAAAGTTTTTTAATAATCACTCCAGCTAGTTTTGAGAATGATCAAATTCCCCCCCATTAGAAAAGTAAGTGAGACATCAAAGAATTCTCAAAAAGAAAACGAGAGTTTCTGGAAACAGTGAGGTGTGCATTCAGCTCAGGAAGGACCAGACTGGCTGTTTGAGTCCCTTACTCTATTAAGCCAGTGACATGAGGGCCTAGGCACAATCTGATTGGCCGAGAGGAAAATTGCCTCAAGGTGCTCTCACTTCTTCATTAGGAGCCAGTCTCCACACAGTCAACAGCTGATCCGAATGACCTCCAATCAACTCATTGGAATTGTGACTTCAGCTTTAATTTATCAAGAGAAAAGACAACAATATGTCCTTTAAACTGATTGTGTCTTTGCTCTGATGTATCAAATAAGCCTTGTGTTACATTTTGTGTATTGAATATTTTCAATCTCACTTTTCTCAAATAAGTATAAAAAAGAATCATCAAAAATAATTGTCACTTTCTTTTTTCAAACCCTTTCTTATTGAACTGGTCAAGTAAAGACCAATATGTATCTTACAGTTTCTCTTCCTCTGTTTACAAACTGACGACAAGATTTGATTTACTCATCTTTGGCACACCCAAAGCATCAGTTTAATTCACTCAAAAAAGTACAAAAGTGTGATTCTTCATCATTCATTCTACTGCAGACCAATGCAAAAAACCTTCATCCAGTAGTTACTGAAAGATATTTCACATATATCTGGGAGCATTTAGGTGCATATTTTTAGGATCAAAAAGTTCAAGCAATGCTGAGATTCAAGAGAAACATATCTGTTGAAGGGAAATGTAAAATATCTTTAAATAAAAATGAAATGGGCAAATGTAGCATGTTACAATGTTGCCTGCACACTTGCAGATTGCCCACATTTTTACAGTGTCAATCATATTATTTTACGCTTCATGTACTGAAAGGCTCAGCACATTCTTCAGTCAGTGTAGCTACATCCAGACACACATAACAAAAACATGAAAACAAATGGCAAGGTAAATATTGTTGAGTCTTTGGTAGAGGAGCTGAAAAAGCACAGCAGCATCGAAGAAACCGGGATTCATCCTATGACAAAAAAATCGTGTAACAGCAGCACAAGTTGAATCATCCATCAAACCTGTTGTCCAGTGTCTGAGATGCCGAGTGCTGTGACACACTGTGTGCATCTCACAAGTGGTGCTATTTAAGGGGAGAAGTTGGTATTCCTTCAACCTAGACCATATTTTTCATTTCTTTGTGTCTAAGTGACTAATAGGAAAGACACTTTTTTAATTGGAACAGTATTGAGTGAGAGAGCTACAGATGGCAGTCAATTGAAGTCCACAGAAAATGTGTTTTTTGCGAAATGCAGGCTCAGATTGTTATTAAAAGTGTCTTTCAACATGAGGGATAACCCCGAAGAGGTCTAAAAGTGTTTTTATACATTTAGGGATGTTTATTAATGTGCCGTGTGACTTGTTTCCAGAAGACAGGAGAGGAGTGAGCTCGGTGTTATCTAAATAATTTACAAAGTCATGGCTTATTATTATGCTGATTTCAACAGTGTGGATGCAACGGGAGATATCAGAACAAGAGTTCTCCCTGAGCAAGTCTTGGTTAGACACAATGACAGAAACATTTGTTTTTTTATCTGTATGGTCCTTTCTAAACAGTTTAAAAATGTGCCAACGATATTTTTATCTATTGAATTCCATCTCTACTGAAAAATGTATTTGATTAAACAACATGCTGTTAAGCGGCTGCCGTTTGCAGCTCCTTCGCTCAATACTGGACCAATTTCAAAAATAGTTGGTAGTAGTCGGTGAGACACAAACCCCCCCCCCCTTTTGTTTCCAGTTAATCTCGTTCTTAAATATGCAAAATAATAAATAAACAAAAACGCCTCTGAGATAATATATGTTGTCAAACAGGTGTGTTTTTTAATCCTTGTGTCTACAGAAGGTCCAGTTGTGATAGACACGGTTCGCCACTGCTAACAAGTGACATGTAATGTCATGTCATTTAATGTAATTAATGCTCTGACCAGGGCCATAACCGAGGACACTATATTTGTTGCTGCTATTTATAAAAAATCTATTCCCTTAACCATGTTTAGTACCTCTCATACAAAATCAGACGACACTTCATTAAAACTAAAATATCCCTCGTGTTTTGAACATGTTTGGGACTTTTAAGTAAAATGTTGCTGAAATATTCATTTAATTGAAAACAAAGATGTAGTTTAAAAACGTTGTATATTATTCAAATAAAAAATGTATGTAGCTTTTGTGGAGAGATGCATTTTGAGTGCCTTCTAATTAAATCCTACAATACTTTCTTCAACAGCTGCATAACAACAGGATAAATCTATAAAAGCAACTCAAGCCATATAAAACCTTTTTCACAGCACTGTATCTTCCCCCTCAAAAACGGTAAGGGCTTTACAAAAGCAATAACGGGGCACTGTCAGCGATTTCTCTTGCTCACAAAATTGCACAATAGTGTGTGTGTGTGTGTGTGTGTGTGTGTGTGTGTGTGTGTGTGTGTGTGTGTGTGTGTGTGTGTGTGTGTGTGTGTGTGTGTGTGAGTATAGAGTGCAGAGCCATGTCATTACTATTTGGTGTTGGGGTGCAGATAGTAGGGGTGAAACAGTCTCTCATGTGAGCAGATGTGCAGAGCTGCGTGTGTGTGCATCAGTAACCGTGGAAACCGTGATGTGAAGTAGCTGATGAAGCCTTCGGGCAGCTCTCCGAGCGTCTCCTGCACCTCCGGAGGCAGCTCGTGGTAGTGATGCTTCTGCAGGGGGGGATGAACACATACAGGCGTTAAAGTTAGGATGGTTGTAACAAATAAATTAAAGTGTAGGGCTGTACTGGATGTTTACATTGAAGCTCCTATTGAGGTAGAAATGATCTTCTAATGTCTTATTTTAGGACGTCAGAACAATCAATAAAGAGATTCAATAAATTACCAACTTTCTGTAACAGGTTGGTCAACATCAGTCAAGAGATGACCTCTTGATGGAGAACCAAGCGAATGCAGAAAAGCATTATATTATTTTGTAAACTTCTTTAGTCTAATAATTAATTTACTATAATATTATTGTGGTTATATATAAGTAATATATATATATATATATATATATATAACAGCCCTTACTACGGTGCATGCCTCCCTTTGAGAAAAGTCAAACCGTTTTTTGACAACAGTAAAGGTTTTAAAAGGCTAAACGCTAACACCAACCAATATGGATTAAAGCAGAAGTTTGTGTTAAACAAAACATGCTGTTGTGATTATTTGATATGATGACTTCAATATACTTTCACTTTTGGACCATTATTGGAGAGGTTGGAATAACACGTGCCGGAAACAATTCTACCACGTCAATCGAGATCAATAAATAATATAACATTAATAATATCAGTGTAGCATATTCTTTATCTGCAACTATGCAATACAGAGTTTAACAGAATGAAAAAAAAGAATTCACGATTGAATCAAAAGGTCAACATTGTGTATGAAGCTTCAGTCTATTTGGTACATCCCAAAGAAAAGTAAACGCTGACCTTATTCCTCATGGCTCTCAGCAGATCTCTGACTGAGTTTCCTTTATACGTCCTGAACCGCCTCAAGTCTGAAACAGGAAGGTTACAGACCATTGAAGGCTTTGTCATCCTGCACAGGTGTAAACAGAGCAGTAATGGATGCTGTGTGGTTACCTGTCTGCAGAGGCACTGAGATGTGCATCCTCCAGTTGGTCCGAACCACGGCTCGTCCTGCTGTCTCCAGTCTGACCACGATTGGACTGTCGGCGGGCTCCTTCTCGATGCGGTCACTCACGTCCTACACACACACACACACACACACACACACACACACACACACACACACACACACACACACACACACACACACACACACACACACACACACACACACACACACACACACACCACACACACACACCCACACACACACACACACACACACACACACACACACACACACACACACACACACACACACACACACACACACACACACACACACACACACACACACACACACACACACACACACACACACACACACACACACACACCACACACACACACACACACACACACACACACACACACACACACACACACACACACACACACACACACACACACACACACACACACACACAGCTTAGCAAATAGCAAACAGGTAACAACACTACACTACCTAGGGTAATTATTGTAAACAAAAAACTGTAAAAAGCAGTAAAAAATGGTTTAATCGTCAATATTCTTTAGGAAATCAAAACTAAACAGAAATGATATAACCTAAATAAATAACTGATAAACACTAATGACTAATTCATAATAGTTTTAGTTATAGTCTAAAACTAGTGTAAAACTAAAGCTTGATATCAAAACTAAACCTTTCTGGAAAACCCCAAAACTCTTGAACATTTCCGGTTCAGTGAAAATGAAAATCCGCTTTTTTTAAGCAGGAAGAAATAACTTGTAGTAATACAAACAGGAGTCATTGTATCACGAGGGAGCCAGCTGTTCCTTTGTGTGTCTATGACCAACTGAAGGACCTTACCTGGAAAAACAGCAGCTGCTTCTCAGGGCTCCAGAAGAACGGATGTTTGAGGACGCAGGCGGTGGAGGGCCGGGACCCCGCCTCGGCACAGATCATCCGCTCGATCAGATCATGTGCTATGACGTCGTCTGTAATTCATGAGAAGCATGTTCAGGTTTTATGTGTTTTCAGTGCTTGGGACATCAGCTGATCTTTGTGATTTATACTGTCTACAATACTGCCTGCAACATATAATACATGTAAACCCTGAAATAAACGGTGGTTATATTCAAGTGACTCATCTTGAGAGACAGTTCTACTGAAGAAGCTCAAGTTAAATCTCTGGAGCCCTGAGCCTATTTGCAGGATGGTTAGCTTGTTGAAGAGTGACTAACCATGATGTTTTAGAACTCTTTTTTCAAATGCAGGACAGGCAAGTATTAGTAAATTAAAATCTCTTTATTTGAGAATGTTATGTAGAGATTTTGTGTAGGAATTGACTAAACTAGCTTTAAATCTGGAATAAAACAAATGCAAGCTTATGCATGAAACAAGACACATAGGGTCCTTCTCAGGTCGATTAAATGGAATCGTTGCTTCCCTCACTTGCGTCGTTTCCCTGCGACTAGTCCCTCCCACCAGGGAAGCATGGAGAGACGCAAGGAAACCACGAGAAGCAGGGAAATGAGTTTTAAGAGCAATGGGACGTCCTTTTTTCCGGATGATCACGTGAAGCGACGTCCGTTTGTGATGACGCCGCACAGCTGATCGTCTGACAGCAGCTCTGTCCCCGTTATTTTCACAAACACCCCCGCCACACATTTACTGACACAAACATTTGTATCATCTGTTGTAGACCCAAATACATTAAATAAAATAAGAACTCATTCTCAAAAATGATAAACGCCATCATGAAAATGTTTCCAATAAATGAATAAAACATTTTTTGACCACTTTTTTGTTCAGATATATCACATATTTGTAACTAAATGATACATGAATTGAAACAAAACACAGTATAAACTGAGGAGTGACTCTCGTGAGTTTCATGTATTTTCTTCACTCCGCTGGGAAACAGCTTTCATGTCAAGAAGCATCAGATCATCGTCCAATCAGCGAGCGATACACAGTAAGGGGGCGGGGCGAGTATCTGTGGATTTCATCGGAGGATGGTCTGGTGATTCCTCGATCCTCGATCCTCTGGCAGAAATAAGCGCCATGGGACGGTACTCAAGATGGCGCAGACAAATCAACTTCCGGTGATACAGAGGAGCGAGGAAATGAAAATAATCGACCTGAGAAGGACCCATAGACATTTACTTTTCTCACCAGGTATATCCTCCATAAAATGCGAGAGTGAGTATTCTCCTGACAGGATGTTCACCTGCCGTCTTAACTTATCACCGAAGGGGTGCTGCCCCCTGCTGACCACGTAGTAAAACACGCAGCCTGCCGAGAAGACGTCCACCGCTGCCGTCTGTACAGGGGAGAGGAGGAACACTGAGCACCTACAAATTCTTCTACGTCAGTGTTTATCATCTTTTGCTTTTATATGTATTTTTGGGACGAAAAAAACTGTATTTAATTTTAAAAAGTAAATATAACTACTGGGGTAAAAATAGCAAAGAGAAAAAGAAACAAATTAAGCAAAAAACAGAAAACTTAAGAGGGATATTGATAGAGCGCAGAATGGAAATAAGAGTCAAACTAAATGTCTATTTTATTTATGAAATGCATTTTGAGAACTGTTTTTAGGTCTCAATCTGAGCTTAAAGGCTAAAGGCTAACCTACTCTATGCCAGATGGAGATCTTTAGGACATGAGGCGATTGATGGTTGTCATGGGTAACATGAGCACTTTTTTCCACGAGGGCCGGCCAATTCAACACAAAATAAAAGTGATTTGTAGTTGCTTTAAAAAAAATCGTAATAATAAACTCCTTAATCTACATTTAAACCTGAATTATCATATGTTTTTTTTTCCAACTGTGTCTATTTTAATTATCAAGTTGACTGAGCATCAAAGAAATACATTCTGGAGTATGTCAGATCTGTGTGTGCATCGTACCGGTTTGTTTCCCGGAGTATCCCGCAGTACTTCAGGAGCGATCCACCCTTCAGTTCCCGGGATTCCTGACCTCAAAGAGAAGCTGCACCGGCCCTCTGGGATCTTCTTACAGAGTCCAAAGTCAGAGATGAGCGCTCTGACCTGCCCCAGCGCACTGGGACCAGACAGGAGGATGTTTCTGGGCTTCAGGTCACGGTGGACTACAGGGAGAGACGATGGAGAGCCAAGAAGAAATGAAGGAACAATGCTTAGCTGTTTAAGATATGCAAGATTTAAGTTTCAATATATTCATTGTTAAAAGTACAATTTAGTGAATTACTTTAGCTGGCTCCATAAGAGAAAAACAATAAATAGTCAATATTAAAATAAATTAATAAAATGTAATAACCAAATATATGAAGAAATATTCATGAAAAGTAAGATTGCAGCACTGCAGTGCCTTCTGTCTCTGTGGGTAATACAATAGAAACATAATGTGTGTACTTATATGCTTGTATTTATCTATGTGTTACCTATGTTGAGGGAGTGGAGGTGTGAGAGGCCACACATGGTCTGCCCCAGCAGAGTTATCGGATTCAGCTGAGGAAAACCAGACGGATCCTCCACATACTGCAGGGAACAAAGACACACAAAAAACACGTTAGTTTTGTTACGAAATCACACTTCACCCCTAAAATGACTCACCCTTTACTAGCTAACATGTGAGAAAAAACTCTTGATGAAGTAAAGTTGGTTATGGGCCAAGTTTAACAACAGTTAACCATACCAAAAACAAATTCAGTTTACAAACTCTCATAGAACTCGTGCAGTAATAATCCTAGTCTTATTAACCATACACTCATTACTTCATAAACATTTTCACTTTTACCTTAGTATTCAACACACATTTGCTGTTACTCCCTTCTCTCTCTCCCTGAGTAGAATATCAAACTAAAAACAGATTTAAAAAATGTTTTTGCTCTTGCTTAAAGGTGGGGTAGGTAAGTTTGAGAAACCGGCTCGAGATACACTTTTTGTTATATTCCATGGAATGCTCTTAACATCCCGATAGCAATGAATATCTTAAGTGTTTGACAAAATAATAAAATAACAAATGTCATCTGTGGAAGCCGTAGTACTGTAAAAAGCACGACCAATCATCTGAGCCGGCCCGGCTAAAATAACTGGATGGCCTACCTGCCTGTCAGCCTCCCATCGGGGCACAAACGTATCTCGTGCCCTCATTGGTCATGTGCGCGTTCGTGTGTGTTGGAAGAGGGGCTCTGTAAGGAAGTGGCAGATTTTTTCCGGCTGTGTATTTTCAAATTCTAGCGCACTCGAGCTGGTTTCTCCAAAATTACCTATCCCACCTTTAACAGCATTTTCTTTTTAATTATTGGAGAATTTGCTCAGTTTTTGATTTCATTTGTTCACAGTTGAGGCATTAAAAAAGGTTCTGTTAAAGAATTCGATGTAACACAGGCTTAATAACTCTAGCTTTGAGTAACAAAGGGCCCTTCAGTGCGGACCTGCTGCAGGGTGGCGGTGCACAGCTCGATGGCGATGTAGGTGAAGAGGCGGTCTCTCTCTGTGCAGAAATATCGGATGACATTCGGATGAGTGTCAGACTCTCGGAGCAGCTGCACCTCACGTTCTGCTACCTCGAAACACTCCGGCAGTATTCGCTTCACCGCTACCTGCCGTCCATCAAAATTACCCCTGAGGTCCCAAAAACAGAGAACCATAACATATTATGCCTAGTACTGCATGTGCCACGGAACAATAGAGTTTATCTCAGAGTTATTAAACATGTTCAGGTTTTGAATCGTCAACCCAGAACTCAAAGCTGTTTTATGAGCTTTGGCAATTTTTCAAAGCCTACTGTCAAATAGATATCGGTTTTATTTTTCAATGTGGTAGGAAAACTAGGTCATTTTCACTGGAGAGATGTTTTTATATCTCTTATGGAAAGGTAAAGGTACAAATCTATTTGGTTTTTGGTTTGGTTGTTATGGCTGATTTAAATGTAGCTGTCATTAGGTCATTGCCTTGCACCATCTAAAACGTGCAAATACACAAATATAGTTGGCTGATTAAGTATCCTGAAATGTGAAATAGTGCTGTGTTAAATACACATACAGTACCTGAAGACAAAAGTTCCTGCAGTGCCGTGTCCAAGCACCTCAGATGGAGTGAAGGAGATTTTCCCAACATGCACCTCCTCACTGTTTCCTTCTGCGAAAGGCAAGAAGGAAGCAGAAATAAATAAATCTCCTGTTAATGACTCCTCCTTCAGACTATGGCTCCTGATATTCTACCATTTCTCACCCATTTCATCAACACTTCTCTAACTTCTGGTCACTTTCCAAACAGTCTCAAGGAGGCAAGAGTAAACCCTCTCCTAAAGAAACCCACTCTCAACCCGTCAGATGTTATAAACTACAGGCCTGTCTCTCTCCTCCCGTTCCTGTCTAAAACACTTGAACGCGCTGTCTTTAAACAACTCTCCTGTTATCTCAATCAGAACAACCTTCTGGATCCGCACCAGTCTGGTTTCAAGGCAGGTCACTCCACAGAAACTGCCCTCCTTGCTGTCACTGAGGAACTGCACACTGCTAAATCAGCCTCCCTCTCCTCTGTCATCATCCTTTTGGACCTGTCTGCTGCATTCGACACGGTGAATCATCAGATCCTCCTTCGCACTCTCCAAGAACTTGGAGTTTCAGGCTCTGCACTTTCCCTCATCACCTCATACCTCAAAGACCGCACCTACAGGGTTACTTGGAGAGGGTCGGAGTCCGACCCTTGTCAATTAACTACAGGGGTCCCTCAGGGCTCTGTTCTTGGTCCCCTCTTCTTCTCCTTGTACACAAACTCGCTCGGATCTGTCATTAGCCCGCATGGTTTTTCATACCACTGCTACGCTGACGACACCCAATTAATCCTGTCCTTTCCCCGCTCCGAGACCCAGGTCGTCGCACGCATCTCTGCTTGTCTAGCTGACATCTCTCAGTGGATGTCTGATCATCACCTCAAGCTCAACCTTGACAAGACTGAACTGCTTTTCCTTCCGGGAAAAGATTGTCCCACTCTTGACCTAACAATCAACATCGGCACCTCTGTTGTTTCCCCGACTCAGACTGCAAGGAATCTGGGTGTGACCCTAGATAACAAACTGTCCTTCACTGCAAACATCGCTGCTACAACCCGCTGCTGCAGATACACGCTTTACAACATCAGGAGGATATGTCCCCAGCTGACCCAGAAAGCCACGCAGGTTCTGGTCCAGGCTCTCGTCATCTCACGCCTAGACTACTGCAACTCCCTCCTGGCTGGTCTACCTGCATGTGCCATCCGACCTCTGCAGCTCATCCAGAATGCAGCGGCTCGTCTGGTCTTCAACCTTCCTAAATTCTCCCACACCACGCCGCTCCTCCGCTCCCTCCACTGGCTTCCGGTAACTGCTAGAATCCACTTCAAGACAATGGTACTTGCGTACCATGCTGCGAATGGATCTGGCCCTTCCTACATCCAGGACATGGTTAAACCGTACACCCCAGCGCGTGCACTACGCTCTGCATCAGCCAAACGGCTGGCTGCACCCTCACTGCGAAGGGGACCCAAGTTGCCATCAGCAAAAACACGTGGGTTTGCTATCCTGGCTCCAAAATGGTAGAATGAGCTCCCCATTGACATCAGGACAGCAGATAGCTTACACACCTTCCGGCGCAGACTGAAAACTCATCTCTTTCGACTCCACTTCGAGCAATAGAACTATTAACAAAGCACTTATATACTAATAAAGGACTGGCTTATCTAAAGCCAGTTGAGTAGCACTTGAAATGTTTTTGCTCTATGAAACCAGATGTACTTATATGATTCTGTTTTCTTCAAGTTTGTATTTTGTTGGTCGAACGTACTTATTGTAAGTCGCTTTGGATAAAAGCGTCAGCTAAATGCAATGTAATGTAATGATGAGCGGCAAAAGGAAACAATACACAGTCTGTTGTGTTACCTGCTGTAAGGTTGTACGCAGACGTGACATTTAAATCGACATCTGAGGTGCTGCTGCTGTGAGTGTGAGGACTTGGTGGAGGGTCAGCTGAGGCAGGCTGAGAGTCTGAATAAAGGAAAGTGAACATACAGTGTAGAAGTCAGTCAAATATGCTGCTTCAACACTACTTAATATGTTCTATTAATGCTTCAGTTCTCAAGTGAAATTGAAAGAAACATGTTAAAGCATCGACCCTGTTCCCAAGGTATAAATATAGGAAAAAGAGAATAGTATGGAACTTGTTGTTATAGGTGACTTACCACTGGAGAGGTTTGTGTCAGTAGAAAGCGTTGTATCTGAAGAAACGGAGCTCATTGTCTGCATGTTGGTCTGCATGTTGGTCTGCATGCGCTGGAGACGAGACTCAAACGCCTCCTCCATCTGCCTCTGAGCTTTCAGCTGATGAGCTGCACGCTGGAGAATCACATACAGATTGAAAAACTCTGTAATAAGATGGAGTTTGAGACATCAGTCATAAAAAAGGATGATAACCGGAGCGTTTCTTGAGAGAGATTATAAGACCATATCACTGTCCTTTGCAACAGTGTCAATACAAATCACAGAAACCGCTTATCAGCACAAATGTTTTAAAAATAAGGTAAAACACTGATAAAAAAAAGAGAAAACGTTGTTTTGTAACGGAAAAACAACTAAAGAAAAACTAAATAGTAATAATAATAAAATGTCTCCACTGAGCTGTGTTGTAAGTGTGATTTCTGTATGATTCCAATCGCTTTTTATAGTCAAAATCAGCAAATTGGCCGAGCTCCGCTACAACTACGGGTAGCGATAAGAAGTGAGGCAGGGACGAGCTCTGCCTCTCGTAAGCCCACAGTAACTGGCTGGAGCGCGGGCACTAATGTAGCGCGGGCACTTATTTTGTGAGCGCGCTCAAGCCAGTTACTGTGGGGTGAGGTGAGGCACAGATGAGCTCTGCCTCACCTCAGAATGCGTCACCCCACAGAAACTGGCTGGAAAGCGGGCCCTAAGCGCATGCCTGTCACCAATGTAATGTTTGTAGATCCCTTTATTACATTTATCCTCGCCATCCATAGTCTCTAAAGAACTTATTTCACGTATATATGATATTTAGGCCCGCTGGTCTCATCATACAACGGCAATGAAAAAAGCACCTGGAGAGGCAGCCATAACCTCTGCCGCACTGAAGGGGGCGCACGTGAGCCCACATATTCTTGTTGCTACTGTTATTCTACGTGGAGACGGTAGACGCAAACAACAAACTAGACTTTTGTTTTGAAACTAGAGGGAGATAAGGAGGACTTTTACAAAAATGTAATGGAGATTGTTGTCCAGAAGGAAAGCATGGACTTCATCTTCAAGTCAAGGTAAGACCCCAATTGTAATGAACATGGGATCTTACTAAGAAAGAACAATCCAATATTTAGATTTGGGGTATCCTTTTGTTGAACAGTCTGTTTAAAATGAATCGAAGCATCAGACTAAAAAAGCTTTTGAAAATAAACGAACATTTCGATTAAGGTCAAAATATAATATTTGTAAATCTGACTCTGAAAGAGTCAGTGCCTCACCAGCCATGAACGTCACCACACGTCACTGCATATAATCACTATCTTAGTAACGAAGTGCTTTGTTAGATACACTTATTGAGACATGAATCTAGGAATTTTTCTATGTTGCATTATTGTCCTTTCATTGTTTCATGGTCTATCTTAGGACCAAAGCATTTGTGAGCAATTAAGCTTCACACATTCTTCAATTGAAACTTTATTATTATTCATATTTTGGCACCAAATTCCAAACAATTATTTTTGAGAATAAAACCTGAAAAACTGCAGACACACAAACTCACAAGGGGGTACGTGAAGACGAAGGCCAGCCACCCTCCCAGCAGCAGCGTGATGACAGCCAGAGTCAGGCGGTCCTGGGTCATGGAGAAGGGCAGCACAGCGGCCGGCCTCTGGGCCTGTCCCGACATCTTCCCATCAACCCCTCCTCTGTTAGCATGGGTGTCACCATGGCTATCAGCAACTGCATCGAACTGAAGGACACAATAAGACAACAAGGATGGGAAACAGTGGAAACGTGAGGAGGTTTCACTTATTATTTGCAACCTACACTGAACAAAAATATAAACGCAACACTTTTGTTTTTGCTCCCATTTTTCATGAGATGAACTCAAAGATCTAAAACATTTTCTATATACACAAAATAACCATTTCTCTCAAATATTGTTCACAAATCTGAAAAAATCTGTGATAATAATAATAATTTCAATTTATATAGCGCCTTTCACGAAACCCAAGGACGCTTAGGGTTAGAACGTGATAGTGAGCACTTCTCCTTTGCCGAGATAATCCATCCCACCTCACAGGTGTGGCATATCAAGATGCTGATTAGACAGCATGATTATTGCACAGGTGTGCCTTAGGCTGGCCACAATAAAAGGCCACTCTGAAACGTGCATTTTTGCTTTATTGGGGGGGTCTGGGGGGGTCCGAAAACCAGTCAGTATCTGGTGTGAGGGGTAGGGGTAGGGTTAGGGTAATGTTGTGAATCGAATGGCCTGTGTTCGTCGTCCATAACATACGCCTGCCCATACCATAACCCCACCACCACCATGGGCCACTCGATTCACAACATTACCCTAACCCTAACCCTAACCCTCACACCAAATACTGACTGGTTTTCGGACCCCCCCCCAGACCCCCCCCAATAAAGCAAAAATGCACGTTTCAGAGTGGCCTTTTATTGTGGCCAGCCTAAGGCACACCTGTGCAATAATCATGCTGTCTAATCAGCATCTTGATATGCCACACCTGTGAGGTGGGATGGATTATCTCGGCAAAGGAGAAGTGCTCACTATCACAGATTTTTTCAGATTTGTGAACAATATTTGAGAGAAATGGTTATTTTGTGTATATAGAAAATGTTTTAGATCTTTGAGTTCATCTCATGAAAAATGGGAGCAAAAACAAAAGTGTTGCGTTTATATTTTTGTTCAGTGTAAGTGGGTGTTAACATCTGTTGTGTAATGTGTGCAATTTACACTTTATTTTGACAACTTATTTACAATTTGTTAATGTTACTGGTTCCTAAAATACAGTTTTATGTTTACTTACTTAAATACAGCTTTTTACCATGGTACTTATTTGTTATTTGTTATTAATGTGTGTTTGCCTCTTTATTTAATATCCCGGTCTAGTCTTTTCATTTTTGCCTTACGTCTGCACAGATCTTTGCGATTGTAACGCAGTAAATGTACCTGCTGGGGAAAGGACTTTCTGTTTCTGGCATGCAGTTAGAAGTTTATCACATTAATGTCCGGATCTCTGAGGCAGCTTAAAGTGCGCAATAATAGACATTAAAAACCAGATAAAATAGGATTATTGTTCGATACCATTCCTGTGATTTACTGACTCAGGTGTAGACAGCAGTAGTGATACAGAGGTATTTGGAGCTGAGACTCACGTAGCGCTGATGGTAGTATGAGGCGGGGGAGGCAGAGGTTCGGGGGGGGATGACTGCCTCCCCCGAACGCTGCAGGCCAACAGGGAAATCCCTCAGCATGGTGGTGTGAGCCACTGGAGGCAGCTCATGGTGACCTGAAGCACAGATATAACACATTGTGAGCTGGCTCTGTGTTTATGTCAGGGCTGGGGTCACTTTCTTGTCTGGTCAATAAATAAAAGAGATGTTTCAGTTGTGAGAATATTTTGAGCCAGAAGTCTTACTTTCCAAAAACCAGGCTAATGTAAACTGTTTGATTTAGAGACTTTGTTTCCACACGATTTTACAAATAATTCAGTTCCAGGACAGATTCACTTTTCCTAGATAAGTAGATTTACAGTTCCTCTTGTTTTATTACTCATATTGTTAAAAATAAAAATAAACCCATAGATCCCATTGAGATTATTAAATCTCTTTTATAAGGGACCCGTGCCAAGATTGAACCAATAACATACACACAAACATTTAAACACGTAAAACAAACAAACAGTATCAACTACAGAATCATATGATTAAGTAAAAGAATAATTAATACCTTGTTGTCATTTTAAATGTGTGTGTGTGTGTGTGTGTGTGTGTGTGTGTGTGTGTGTGTGTGTGTGTGTGTGTGTGTGTGTGTGTGTGTGTATGTGTACCTATTAACAGCCATTGGTTCTTATGGCTGTTGGTGCTCCCCGGTGGGTAGCGCACATCAGTGAACGGTGTGATCTCACACTCCCCTCCCTCTCTGACCGTCACTCCTGCCGTCAACGGACCTTCAATTCGACCCAAGGTCAGTCCCCGAGGCTGCCATGACAACAAGAAGCACAAACTGGTCACATGACAACTATATTTGTATTGCCTCTATCCTTAATAGTTCATAACTATCCGACAGACTTGATCTGATACGCTGAAACAACTTAAAATGTTGTTAAAAGGGAGAATCACCAAAGATGCTCGACGTGGCACTTGAATAGAAAAATTAAACTAGGTGTGTGAATGCAGGTATATCATAAAAAAATATTATATATCTAAACTCACCACTAATGAGACTCCATGGTGAACAAGGGAAGTGGAGGCGTAGAGGTGGGAGTCCAATTTTCCTACATAAAGAGTGGGTCTTAAAGAGAAAAAAGGGTCATGTTATTCTCTCAAACGATTAATTATATATTAGAAAAACCTAGAAAATTTACGGATTTTTATCAAATGGTATATATTGATAGGATTCTCGACAAGAAATAAATGTTGCCTTCCTAGCCCAGAGGCGGAAATGATTAAATTAAATAATACGGACAAAGGCTTGGTTATTCGAGCGGAGAGATTAAACTGAAAAAAGGAAAAAATTAAAAAAAACTCTTATACCTTGCCTCATCATACTTGTCATGTCCCAAACAACAACCAATCTCAACCTCCTTGTTCAAAAATAAACTGTTTAACTTAAGTGTACTTGTCATAACGTTTTTCTGATCTAACACCAACCGATTTCCTGTTCTTTTGTTATACTATTTTTCCACCTATAAAAAATAAATGAAACAAAAACGCCACACAGATTAGTTTGAAGTCCAAATGTTTCATTACAATATAGCCAAAGAAAACGGTTGCTTCTGATTGGCTGGCAGGAGTTCCTAAAAAGATATAACCAGACACCTCCAACAGCTCCAGCTGACAGTTTGACTGCTGCTGTAAATCAGAGCAGCAGTTACTGGAGATTAAACCGCACTACTAGTACTCCATGCTGCATTACTAGTGGCAGAGCAGACCTAACCAAGGGATAAACTGAATAAAGGCAAGCTTTTAACAGTTATTTCCCTTTCTCTGTACTAAATAGATGGGAAGTGTGGATTATAATATAACCCAAGAGGAAATAACAGACTCAGCAGTTCTTGCTCTGCCTTGTCTATTTAATGTATGTGTCAGTGAATCATCACTTACTTGAGTGACTAGAATAATACCTTTTGTTGTAGAGGCAAATTGGAAAAGTGTTGGCAAGGCTTTGAGCAGTCTGAGAGTTTTTCTAGTTACCACTTCAATAAATAATGTGATCCGACAGATACATTGCTGCTGAAAGCTCTCTCACTGTCATGTATAACAACATTTCTCTTACACAAGTTGTGCTTGAGCCGTGGCTTGCTCCTTCACAAACTGATAGCTCCACTTCAGAGTCGAGTGTGCGTCTGCCTGGTCGTTTGCAGAGGAAAAGGTGAGGAAGCGCAGCGTTTCCATTGCGAGGGACAGGTGGGGGGCGTGTCTTAGTGAGTCACCAGAGTACAGATAGACCCCCACTACAGGAGACCCGTAATTCTGACTCCACAAGACGTCACCTGAAACACAGCAAAACACACTTGAGAGAAGGTAGAGATGAAGATAGAGGAACACATCAACCTCTCCCACATATAGAAGATGATCAAATGTTCACTTAGTAAAAACCACACACCTCCCCCTACCTGTTTCTCTGTCAACTGTCACAACGAGACCATCACCGCTCGACACAAGATGGGCCATCTCTAGGAGTCAAACAGGTAGGATAAGTTAGTATTAGAGAAGCTGAAGAAACTCCTCAATCAATCTTGAACGTAGTTTACTTTTAAATATAAATATTAAAAGAGAAAGCACACACAGAACAAATACATCCACTAAGGCAGCATAATCCTTAAACTCTTTCATTTGATTGGGGCTATCGCCTACTGAAGAAAGTGCAGCAACATTTCTTATTTGTACTAGACATTTTCTGCTTTTTTGAGTTTTAAATATGTGTGTGGGAGTAATAGAACAATGAGGTGAGAGATGAAGAGCTGCAGGTATATACTCAGCCGGCCTACTAACTACATACACTCTCATATACTTTATGAACTGTAGTATGAAACGGCATTTGCTTTCAACAAGAGGGCTGCATATTCTGGCAAAAAAACGAGTTGTGATTATTTTAACTATAGATACTGTAATTGTGATATAAATAAAATGATGAAGGTGTGATTTTTAGTACAATCTATACACAACAAGGTTTTTTTCAATACCAATTGTAGGATGTTACTTGCTTCATTCAGAATGTTTTCATAAATCTACCAAATATTGCGTTTACTGCAGTTTGAATATTCACTAGTCCATATTGCGATTTTGATACAATGTTGATTAATTGTGCAGCTCTAGTTAACCCAAATCAACCAGGATTTAAATCTTAAGCATTGCCACTAAATATATTCCTCAAACATAACACAAATAGGTGCAGTTATTACCTATATCACTGTACTTCCTCTCAAATGCACTTGTTCTAGATATGTTTACATGTTTTATATTGCTGTTAAACACTACAAGCAGGTTCTGCAGGGTTGTCATCATATTGACACAGAACAATTATACTGTTTATTAAACCCTGCATGACTGAATGTGTGTGTGATAGACGTACTGTAGTCCTGTTTTTCATCGTAAGGCGGAGCAGAGTAATCATTGTACGTAGCGTTCCATCGCAGCTCCTGTGTCTTGGTGTCAAACATGGTTATCATGTATTCTGGAGAAGAAAAACAAAGTGCAGGAGAGCATGAAATTACCTCAGACGTAATTGTGCTGTGTGTGTGTGCATTTCTCGTGCAAGACATACCTGTGCGTCCAATGTAGAGCAGAGGAGTGTTGGGGCAGATGGATTCAGAGGTGGAGGTGGTTAAACTGGTTTGCTTCTCGCCTGTCTCAGGATCCACCACAAACCAAACATCCTGCTTTTTACCTTCAAGTGCACACACACACACACACATTATCGAATAGCATTGAAGTATTCAAAGATATTTATGTGCCTATCATTCCTCATCTCTGACAACTGTCTCACACAATCTCACCTGTGTAGAGGATACCATCAGAGCTCCTGCAGGGAGCTGACTGAACCAGTTCTGGTATGGTAAAAGGCAGTTTCTGCAGGTACATCCAAACAAAGGGGTCATAAAATGGTACACAAATACAGACTAACATACAAATAAATATGCTATATGGTTTACCATCAGGCCTTCCTTGTGTTTGCCACCCAGGATATACAAACTGCCATCGTTGGGGTCTGGGAGAAAACCGGGCCTACAAAAACAACATTCATACAGCCTTTTGATTATTTCAAATATTTCATTACTCTTGCCTCTTTCAGCAGGATACTTTTACATGACCTTTGTCTCAATCAATATGTTTATCTTAAAGAAACAGCTGTTTAAGCCTGAACAAAATAATGGGAAAATGGACTTCAATGCTCCTAGGAATTGGTGGCATCTTTACATGTGTGTTACTCACTCTGTGAGGTAGACGGGTACTTGAATAATAGGGTCTGAAAGAAATTAAAAGACAATTTCATGAGCCTTATTTTAAAATAGAAACAAATGTCTATGATCAGTATTGATGTTTTTGTGTATGAACCTTCTCTGAGGGTCCACTTGATGTCTCCGGACTGTTTGGAGACAGCATGCAGACTGCCGTCCAGAGTGGAGACAAACAGGAGGGATTCTGGGAGAGTGACTGATCTGACCCCTCCAACCTGATGGGCCGCCAGGAAGAGAAGAGAGAGAGAAAATGTAAGCTAGTGGTCCGACAGTCACCGTGTCCTATATCTGATATTCCAGCACAGCTTGACTACAGCATGTGTCTGTGTGTGTTTGAGTGTGTCATCTCAGCCAGGGGTTGGCACTCCTGCCCTGCAGTAAGTGTGTGCTCTATTACAGTCATACTGTGTTTCTCATTAAGCAGGATATCCTGATAACCCCTCCTCCTTCCAACACTATATCCTATACTGGGAACTATGTTATACCGTGTGTGTTCACCACTCCCATATTTACCCACCAACGGATGGCAACCGGCGACAAAAAAAAAGGAGCAGCACACACAAGCAAACAATTGCAAACACTGAATTCAAATATTGTACTCAACTCAGCGTGTGAAATTATTACACAGTAAGCCTCAATTAGATGTTGATATCCAGGTCACTAATGATTTTTACCAAAAAATATCTCTGTATGTATACAGTATATCATATATATATAATAACTTTCTGCCACAAATATATCAAACTATATTTTATGTCACATACATATTTAATGACCATTGTTGGAGGGTCCAACCAAGGTTTTCAATAGCAAACATTGAAATGTCTGTGCATATGATAATGAACAACTTCAGACACACATACACACTCACGCACATGCGCGCGCGCACACACACACACACACACACACACACACACACACACACACACACACACACACACACACACACACACACACACACACACACACAGACAGACACACACAGTATTAACTTTCTTCAAGCAATTTGGACTTAACGCTTAATCATCATATCCTGGCAACTCTACTCGAGCCTGAAATAGACACAGTGGGTTGGCAGTTGCAGTCTCTTCTGCCCGAACAGTATTTAACAAGAAAACAACAACATCAACAACAACAAAAGTGACACCCATACACAGTAGAAACTTTATACCTGAAATAGCTTGCCATCCCAGGACAGCAGGAGGAGAGACAGCAGCAGTCGTCCCAGAGCCCCCATGACCCCCGCAACACTTTGTTTCATGGCTCTGAACAAACCGAGGACTAAACGCTATTCAACTAACAACAGAGGTCGAACTCTCTCTACATTTCCAGCGCGGCAGGCGTCCATCTCTCACAACATTAGTTAGCACCGACACCGGCCTTTTGACATCGCTCTGGTAGTCCAAACGGTGAAAGCTGAGCTAGAAGCACCGCTTTGAATCCATAATAACAATCTTCACTTGTCACTTTTCCATATTTCCGTGTTGGGACGGAACCAGTGACGTCTTGAGCGTACTGTCAAGCTGAGAGGAGGCGGGTCAATCGTGTCTCCTGCACGAAGTGGCATGAGTCCCAGCCAATGAGGGGAGAGGTTTGGTACATAAGGGGCGGGGCCTGAGAAACGACTGGAACACGTGGAAACGGACAGCAGGACAGTTGCAACGGTTGCAACGCAACAAGAACGGCTTTTTGTGCAATAGAAAGTAGTGGAGGCGGTATTGTTTGTTCACTCTATACACTCCCTACAGCACCTGTGGGCTGTTACTAAGAACATTTACTCAAGAAGTGAACTTGTTTACATTTGAGGTACTTGTGGCTCAATTTCTTTATTTCCATTTGCTACTTCCATCCAATTCAACTTTTTATATTTTATTTTATTTCCTTTTTATCACCACTGTAAAGTGTCTTTGAGCACCTGAAAAAGCGCTTAGATTACTTCATGGGCAAATATTTTAGGCCTTCTTTTTACTCCACTACATTTTTGTTAGAGCTAAAGATGCAGAATGACCCAATCAGTGGGTAAACTTGTTATGAAAGACCCAAAATAAGTAACAGTACTATTTATGTGACATCTGCCCATGCCCAATACACTGTATTAAACAGGCCTATAATAGATATATACATGCATACACACAAATCAGGTCACACCTGCTTGTACCCCAAATATGTTTGGCTATATTGCCTTCCTCAATAGCTATATTAATAGCAGAGGGAGAACATAAAGAACACTGGTGAATGAAATGTGATACAAAAAAATATAAAAACAACATTTTTAAACTGTAAGATCTTTTGAGTTTGAGCTTTAATAAAAACTTGAGTAGAGAAGATTTTCCTGCAAAATATTGTTTTTAACATTGTAAATTGCTGTATGTACCTTAGTAAAAGGGATAGTTTGGAGGTGGAGTTGTATAAGGTACCTATCCGTAGTCAGTGTATTATCTACCATAATTAACGCGTGGCATCTTCCAAGAGAAGCCGACAGCACAGAATCAAAACAATGTGCTGCTGTTGACAAGGGCATCAGCAAATGTATTTTTGGCCACCTAAAACAATATCTCTACATGATTAACCTTGCCGTCAGTCAGCCTATTCTGATGGGGCCAGGCGCCATAAAAAAATTATTTAGAAAAAAAAAAACTATTTTACTTTGCAGAACAAAGTTCCAGTTCCACTGGTCTACCACGGCTTCCATCGCTTAGTTTGCTCTATCATCCATCTGATATAAGTAATATAACTATGGATAAGTACCTCATACAACCCTTTTGTACAAAACCCAAACTACCCCTTGAAGTCAATGATCTGAATACGTCTTTCACATACACCGTAAATCTAAAAAGAGAATGTCAAACGGTTGCAAAAAACTTTATTTCTCTGCATCATATTTCCCTTCAGAGAGATGAAAGCCAATAGTTGACACCAGTCTTTTCCAATGACTTACCAAAATTCTATTCACAAAATACTATTCAAAGTGCCTTTACATGGAGAAACCAGACTGTGATAACGCAGCTTGTAAACAGGTGTGCTTCAGATATGTAATGATGACAAAAATAAAATAATACTGGCAGGCACTTCTGTCATTTGAGGTATGAAAAAAACAAAAGAACAGCATCATAGACTGATTTTTAAAGGCATTTGCTGGCTGTGCGCAGGTGGTTGATTCTCGGTGCTGTCTACTGGTGGAGCGTGCTGTCAGGTTTCGGATAGCCAAACAGCTCAAAGTCAGGTTCATACAGCTTGTACAGTTCTCTCCTCATTGCGATGGGAATCTGTGCAAACCAGTCTCTTTCCCAGCTGGCTGCAGTTCGGTTTCGAGCCCCTGAAGGGAAGTGTAGTAGATGATCCACCTCCAGAAGCTTCAGCAGGTGCTCCGCGTCCGTTTCTAAGGATTCTAGTCGTCCAATGAAGTCATACTTCACTTGGCATGGATGGCACAGACGGTACACCTGAAACACACAAAAATCAGGCATACAATTTGAAAACGACATTCATTTCTGGGTCTGTTAGTGACTTTGTTAGTACCAATACCCCTGGTGAGGTTTAAATTGCCACATGTGACTGAGACTGGAAAATAAATCTAGCGGCCCCTTGGTCTTGGAATTACCAGTACGGTAGACTTAAACTCGACTTCCACATCTTTCTGGTCAGTTTTAAACAAATGTTGGCAGAGTGTTTTTGCCACATTGCTTAATCTGTGTTTTGCTCTTGACCTCTTCTGTTGATGTTAGTGTGATTTGAATTGAACGTTTTTTTTTGTGTAAATAATTACATTAACCGAGCTGAGGCATATGTTATGAAGAAAATAAAGTAGGCCTCGTACTAAAATGTGTATGCTGAAAGAAATCCCAAACAGCATAGATATGATCATCCAAAGGGGAATTGTACATCAACTCATGGATAATACCATGCTGCATTAAGTGCGGCTTTACACTGCTCTGTGAGATAAATACCTGCCGCCAGTGTTCGTTGAAGATACTCTCTCTCTCTGTCTCTGGATCCAGCAGGTATGTGATAAACTGCTGAAACGTCGGTTTGATTCCTGCTGCAAACGCCTCCGCCGCTGTCTCTGGCAAACTGCCCGACACATTAGCATAACGACGCAGCATGACAGAACCAAACTGCTTATAGAAGTCCTCGTTAGGCCTGAAAACACACACACAAATACACACACTTTTCACAATTCAACAAAGATACGACTGCTGTTTAATCAAGAGTGAAGCCCATTCCTCAGCCTCACCCACAACGCAAACACTTACACAGTAACACACCCACTCTGTCTAACCATCCAGTTTTAGACACTCACTTTCCAAACTTGTTCCTGAAAGCCGAGATAAGACGAACAAAAGGGTCGCGCACAAACAGAAACTTGGTGTAGTGCTGGAGCTTGAGTGCCATCAGGTGGCGGGACAAAGAACCATAATGCCTCCAAAACCTGGAAAAAGACACAAAGAGGAACACGAGAGCAGATCTTCAGTGGCGTCCTTGTTGAGTTGTGATTTTAATGCTTTCGTTTTATGCAATAGATACATAGATTATTCTATTTAATGTGCCTTTTTTTCATATTCTTTCTCATTATTTTACTGATTTTTTATTATGCAAATCCTATGATTCCATAACAGGAGCCCTTGAGGGTAAAAGATTAGTTTTTTATATCAGTGCACAGAGAAAAACACAGCTTTAAAAAGGAAGTGGAGAAAAAAATACCAAGGTGAGAAATCATACAGTAAACGTTCTGGTTTGACAACCAGATTAAATGGTTTATTTTACTGTTTGTCATTAAGGTGTGTGGTTTGTCTGGCATTTAGTTCTTGTCAAGACACATTTTATTGACTTGTGGAAGAGATTCCTTTACTGAGTTGTTAAATTATTGTGCAGGCTTGGTTTCTTTTGTAGGGATTTTGTTGGTGTGGGCTAAATGTTTTCTTTAAAACATGTCTTTTATCCAAATTCATTGCTTGGTCGTGCAGTATAATATTCAACAAGTTTCTGTGTAGAATTATTCCTTGTGTGGTATAGCCAAACATCTTTGCTCAAATATAATAAATACACCTTAAAGTTATGATCTTAATGACAGAAGTTACTGTTTATATTCATGAGCGTCGCAGCCATTATATGAGGGTGGGACAAGTCCCCCCAACCTTTTAAAATGATTAGTTTAGACCCCCCCACTTTTACTATGTGGAAAGTCCGTGAATCGGTCTATCCACTCTCCGCTCTTTGTAGAGCGCTGTGTCAGTGCTTCATTATCAAATCCATTCCACTTGCTTATTGTGAGAATTCCTAAATCAATGAAATTCATACCATGTTTTCACTGCTACTTTGTACCAAGGCAGATTCTCAGAGCCGTACACATGAGCCGTACACATGAGCCGTACACATGCTGCGTTTTTTGTGTAGCTGTGTCTTTAGTTGTAAAATTATGCGCACCACAATTTCCCCGCTGCGAGGCTCCGGCGCTAACAGTTCACGAACGTTGCAACCCAGTCTCACGGCATTTCGTGTTCACCAACACAATTTTTTATCTGTTGATTCGTGTTCACCAACAAGATTTTCCCCTTTTTTTCGTGTTGCACAGCACGATTTTAAAAGCAATGTATTTCTATTGGTAGTATGTTTCAGGTTTCAACCCAGTCTCACGGCATTACGTGTTATAGGAAGACCGGAAGCTGTGTGGTTCATAAAAACATGTTAAATTCAGTTCCTGAAAGACTCAAAAAAAGCCAGAGATTATAGAATTAAACAAATAAATAAAAACAAGGATAATTGTGTGTTATTGTTGACTAAATAACAGTGTGTTATTTTGGAAACAATAACAAATTAGAAGGAAAAAAAGATTTTAAAAATACAGATTTCAGTATCCTGAGGCTCTGAGCCTCATTTTTTTCCCTCACAGACGGCAACAAAAGTCAGAAATGATACGATTTTAAATAAAAGCAATAATCGTGGCTTGATATTGAGTAAGAACATGTTTTTATGAACCACACAGCTTCCGGTCTTCCTATAACACGTAATGCCGTGAGACTGGGTTGAAACATACTACCAATAGAAATACATTGCTTTTAAAATCGTGCTGTGCAACACGAAAAAAAGGGGAAAATCGTGTTGGTGAACACGAATCAATAGATTAAAAATCGTGTTGGTGAACACGAAATGCCGTGAGACTGGGTTGAACGTGCTCCACTAGCACCCGGATATAAGGCGCTGTTATTAAAGAGGTGGAGGGAGAGTCCTCTCCTGTCAAACTGAGAGGCTGATAACTACAGCTCAGTGAGGTAATGGACTCTCTGAGTGTTTAGATAGTTAACTTTAGTCTAAGTGTGGTTCTCAAACGGTTTGGTAATCATTTATGCAAACAAGTATTTCCAAGGCACAACTTTATATGATCATTATGGTTATAAAAAACAAGAGAATAACAGGTATGAAATAATTCCAACTCATACTATATGACAGTAACACAAAAATGTGTGATTTGTAAAATATGCATAAAGAAAAAGTAAATCTGCTTACAGTTCT